ATGGTCCGCACACTAATTATCTTGTGCTACAACATGCTTAGAACTTAAGGTTCTCTTCAATTGTCAGATTTTGTTAGAGGAAGGACAGTTGGTCAAGCAGATGGTGGAATAAGTCAGCGGCAAATTTCGCAGAATTTGGGAATCCCGCTTTTGACAGTCAACAGAATCATCGTGCAGTCCAGGAAACACGGCAAGGAAACAACTGAACAGCGTCCGGGTCGTCCTGGTCCATCGGAGAGGACAAAAAGGGCTGTCAAGAGGAGCATCGAAATTGATCCTCAGATTAACGACTGCAGATGTGGCCAAAGTTGGTGGGATGAGCCCGAAATCTGTTCAATGGATTCTCCACAGATTGGGTTATCGTTGCAGAGCAGCTAGACGGAAGAACAACGTTGTGTTCTTGTCCACGAAACCCGAGGAATTAAGTAGCAAGAGTCCTTCCTCCAATATTTCGACGTATTTCGCAAAATTTATGTTGCCAACGCACTCCACTGAGCTCGATCTCCCACCAACCCAAACAGCTTCCCAAACCACCATGCTTCACAGTTGGCTGCAATCTGTTGAGCCAAAACTCTTGGTGAGGCATTCTTCAGACCCATATACTTCCACTGACCGAAAATTGAGCGAATCTTGATTCGTCTGAGAACAATACGGTCTTCCAAAAGTCATCATGTCATTTACCCACTTCTTTCGTCTGACTATGTTGGCAGGTCTTAATAAGAAAGCAGTGTGACACGGTGCTCCATCTTCCTTAACTAGAAACACCCAAAAGTGGCAGGAAGAAAATGGTATTCAGAAGTTGCCCTGGCCAAGCCAATCTCCTGACATGAACCCCATCGAAAACCTCTGGGCCATACTCAACCGGCAAGTCAAGAAACAACCAAAAAACCGACTTCGATGAGCGATCTACTCCAAGTTTTGAAGCAAGAGTGGGCAAAAATCCCACAATCTAAAATTGATGAGATGATTCTCACGATGCCCCAAAGGATCAATGAACTCCACGAAGTGAAAGGAAGATCTACTAGATATTAATTAAATTATAGATATATCAATTCATGTGAATATGACTGAAAATGTTCATTTTTTCTGAAAAGGTGGTGTCTATTTACTTGTGACCATGCTGTGTACATACATATCTCAGAAAATAGAAAAGATAGAACATTATTTTACATTCTAGCTCATCAATGTTGGTAATTTGAGTATGTAATTTATAAGAAACTATAGACTATGTATTTGGACATCACAAAAATCTAATCTGAACCAATGCTGCATTCAACATGCCATGTGACACACAAAAATCGATATCTAGGATTTTTGTTTTAATATTTACTTTTAAATTAAGAAATTAACTAATGTATAATACTAACAATTGAATTATAATCTATAATTTGATACCAAACTTTTGACCCATGTTGGTAGGGTTAAAATAATTCTGTTATCTGCTCGATCTGAACACCATGCAATAAACTGTCAAAACGATGATGAAATTGACAATACTCTGTACTAAAAACAATGTAACATTATATATCATTCAATAGATTAAAACTTTGCCTTAGTATTGGTTATAAATGATATAGTACAAAATGTCAGAAAAAGGCTTAAATTTATTCCCTTTGCTGCTCAACCTGAACACCACAAGATAAACTTTCAAACTAAAGATGAATTTGGTGTCAAAAAGAACTACTGGCAATTTATGACAGATGATGTTACAGGTGGGTGTGGCAAATGGGCCTGATTGTTATACTTTATGGCTCTGTTAACAAATAAAATTGAAAGCTTTAAAGTTAACTTTGCCTTAATAATATCTATATTATAATGAGTAATTTATGTTAAATTCCAGACTCCAGAAAGGGGTGATACATAAATTACAGAAGAGGGAAGACCTAGAGAATAAATGTCATGATTCTCATACTATGGGAAATGAGGACATTTTTAAACATGTCCTTATAAAATTAAGACTTTAAAACTTATATAATATTAGATTTCATTTATTAACTATGTTTCAATGCCAAGTTTACATTGGTAATAAAGTAGTTACATTTTGTGACATTGCATACTTTAACCTCCCATACAGAGAAGGTTAATAATAGTCATGCTTAAGGAAAATTAATGCCAGCAGAGTAATATGCTCATGTTATTATTTAATAATACTCTCTGCCTCAGGAACATCAGTGTTAGTAAAGCAACACATTCATGTTATTATTTAATAATACACTCTGCCTCAGGGATATTAGTGTTGGTGTAGTGATATGTTGATCAGAAGGTACATCAAATGTCCACATTAATTCTTACTGATCACTAACTACTACCTTTTAGTACTTCTTAGCCAAGTAATTTAGTTTGTATCTTAAATACATGCCTCAACCTTGTTATATAAAACATTTCTATAATAGAACATACCAGGAGGAATGATGGTAGTATCCATGGCTTGATGGCTACTTTCACTTCCTTGTTGACTATCATCATGTGGGCTATAGGCTGGGGGAGGAGTTTCCGCTGTTTTAGTTGAGATGAATGAAGTTAAGAGCAAAGAAGAAACATCTTACATTCTACACTAAGTAAGGTTTTACATGAATCTTCTCTAATAACATGAAATTCACCACTGTGAGTTATTAGGTTAGTGAAAATTAACCTAATCATATATATATATATATAAATGCACCTAAAATCAATTTCCACTATGCACCTGTTACATGCTACATGTTAACTTTGAGATATTAATTCCTACAAATTCTGACAGTAACAGCCACAATATAAAACAATTATATACTACTTCAATAGCACTGCTACCATCACAGAATATAATAGTGTAATAGCACTGCTACCATCACAGAATATAATAGTGTAATAGCACTGCTACCATCACAGAATATAATAAGTGTAATAGCA